GCATAATAGACATCTTTTTTTTTCTTTATTAATTCGCGCATTTATCTTTTTCATTCCCTCACTACAGTAAATGATGCTTTAGGTGTTATAATTTATCATGACTCTCTCCGTTCTTACAAATCTGGCTCCATCTTGCATTTATGCTTCATTAAACCTCATGCAGCGCTACAGGCACCTTTGAATCCAAAGAGAAGTTAGACCCAACCTGTGAAAACATGTCAGATTGGTTTTGTAGGTCTTTTCTATTGCTAATGAAACTGAGAGATGTATAGATCCCTGCTGATATGCAATATGTAATAATCATGGGCTTCATTCATGAAACACAAGCAAGGATATCTGTGAAAATGTATCTGTACTTCCTCTGTCCTATTGAACTGAACACAACAATTTGCAGCAAATGGATTTATGAACGATTCACACATAAATTCGCTCTGCTCGTGTTTCATGAATAAAGCCCCATGTGCATGCCCAAGGGAGTTGAAGGAAGATCAAGGAAGATCAGATCAACCTAAAACTGGGTTTTATCAGCATTTAGCACCACCTGCTTCCATGACTGTAGGTGTCAATATTTTGTTTCATCATCACCGAAAGCCACAAGATGTTAGGAAGAGCAACTGGGGCATTTGATATTATAATGGTGATCATATTTCACATCCCATACAATTATGCCCATATAGATTACAAAACCGCTACTACAACAACAATGCTTCTTCTTTAATGGCCTACTGCACTTAAACAAAAAAGTAATCCTACAAAGTTGCATAAAAGGCGTAAATACCGAAAGATGCTGTCAAAATATTCCACAGGGTTCTATATGTGCAAGGATTAAGCCAGTTTTTTGTCTCTAATTTCACAGGTCATTTTTTTAAGAAGTACATTAATATACAAAATTATTCAAATGAGCAGGACTATTAAATTAAATATACTGGACACAGGTGGCAATTTAATCATTACACATATGAAATATTGGTTTAAGATTTTGCTAAATCATGTAAAAATTGCCATGTAATGCAAAAATTCATGCAATGTTTAATGCTAATTATATTTAGATTTTATGGGCTGAATTATGGCTGTAACAAAATGAACTGAGACACAAGTAAACATTCTTAACAAGAAAAAAAACATTACAAAGCATAACAGAAATACAAAAATAAAGAGAAATGCAAATATATCAATAACTTAGAGCATTTCACAGTTCACATACTAATGGACATACTAATGGCATAATGGTGTAAAATTTGACGTCATGGTATTAAAGTAAATCCAATTTCGGATAGGAACTGTTGTCAAATGTTACCTGTACACTGAAAAAAATTATTCATTGAATTTACAATTTTTTTTAAGGTAAGTGATTGCAATCAATTTATTTTAGCTACATTTAAACAAACAAATCTAGTTGACTAACTTTCAATGTTTTTTTTTTATGTAACTAAAATAAATGGTTTACAATCACTTACCTTAAAAAAATTTGTATAATTGTTTCAGTGTAACTTTTCTCAGAGCTTGGATAGCTTGTACATTTTGTGAAACTGTAGGTTGCATTGTTAAGTTTTGGGTTTTTGGGCAGAACAAAGAGATTGAATTTTGGTTTAATAAAATTTAATTAAAGGTACGTTTTATTTACACAAATGTAGATTTACAGAAATGTAGTCCTTAAACACCTCGATATAGTTTCAAAGGCAAACGAAAGAAAGTTGGCCTCTGAATGGATTTAAAAATGGGGCTGGACCTAACATGAAGAGGGATCTTAGGGAGGACAGCTGGAACGGTCAAAAGCACAACCTCTCGGTTATTTCTACAACTAAATGGTGGCCAGTGCAAAGATGCCAGCACAGAGGAGAGACGGCCTCTTTTATTCAAACCCATTATAATAGCAGTCGCATCTTTGAAGATGTCTTCAACCAGGGGAATTAGCTCAAATGGTAGAGCGCTCGCTTAGCATGCGAGAGGTAGCGGGATCGATGCCCGCATTCTCCAAGCTGGGTCCTGCCCTTTTAAGCTTTTTTTGTCCCTAAAGAGACAGACTACGCTTCGACGCTATGAAGCGATGCTCCCTACATGACTTTTTGGGGCTCACTGCTGCCGAAAAGTGGACCAGGTCCTGCTCACATTCATGGCAAAAGCAGGTCCCACCAAGATCTGAACACAGATCACTAGATTCAGAGTCCAGAGTGCTAACCATTACACCATGGACCCGTGACAGGAGCAGCTGTCGCTCACAGGGCCACAAAGACTAAATTACTTACAGACTCGCCAGCAGCACCAAACTACTTCTTTTCCTGCCGCAAGAAAGCATGCAGATTTGAGCTCGGATCGCTGGATTCGAAGTCCAGAGTGCTAACCATTACACCATGGAATCACCACTGCTTCGTTGGTGGCCATCTGGGAGGCAGATAGCACTGTGGCTCTGGGGAAGCAGTTAGACAGAGGGGTTGGATCCCAGTGAATATTGGTCACTGGCCCCCTCGACCAAAAGGCAAAGACACGCGTGCTAACCAGCTGAGCTAGCCAGCTAACATGAAAGAAATTAAAGCAGCTGAAAAAAGGAATGCCTTAAAACTCTAAATAACTTGCAATATATACTGATCAACACCCAGTTGATAATATGCTTTTATACTATTCTTATGCTGCTTGGACAACTGCGTTGTAATTCAAGCATATTACAACCCAGTTGTAATATGTTTTTAGACTTTTTATATGCTGCTTGGATTTATTGTTTGTGTTTGAAGTTTGTTATTTGAAGAAGTTTAATAAAGGTTATTAAAAAAAAGTTTCTACGAGCTGTTCAGGATGGAATAACTGAGTAAAAAAAATAGAGAGACTGCTGGAATAAATGTATTTGTATCTCGGTTACTAATGCTTGATATTAACATTTAAATTACAATCTAGTGTATCTACAGTGGAGATCAAAATTAGAGAATAGTTTATGAACACTTGAGTTATTTTTCAGAAATAATTAAATAGTCGTCAACGTTCAAAATTGTAAGGAATTTTAGTTGTGGCTATACCATGCTAGTAGAAAAGTGTTTTACAAAATAACAGTGACAAAGGATCAGTGTCACCAAGAGATTTTTAATCAAGACACTGGGCTGGCCATTTCATTATTTCCATCTCCCATCGGACAAAATTTATTTAAACTTGCTTTCATCACTCACGTGAACTTTGGACTAGTTCTCCTCCGTCTATACAACATGCTCCTCAGCAAAGGTTAGTGTAGCCTTTTGATTCTTTCTGCGAGTTTTTATATTGTGCTTCAGAATTTAACTCATGAAATATGCTTTAAAAACTGCTTTTACTCCTGTAATGATAACTTCAAATAGGACTAAGCAGTGACCTCGAAATTTAGGAAATTGTAGGATGTTCTACAATTTTGATCTCCTCCGTTATGTCTCTTATAGGACAAAACCCTACAGAGATGTGAATGCAGTAACTGGGTTTTGTGACCAGTGCCAAATACCTGAGACTGTAGAACATGTGCTTATTAATTGTTCAAAATATGAATTACAGAGGATGGGTATGATAAATGACATGGAAAAAATAAGACTAACAGGACGTGGAGTAAAGAATATAATGGACTGCAGTAGGAGTGAACAAGGAATGAAATATTTGATTTGCTTTCTGACTAAAACGGGACTTGTGACAAGAATATGATGACTAAAGTATATGGGAAATAACTAGAACCAGAAGATGGCAGTAGTAGGAGTGTACATACCAGAGTTTGATGTAACCATATGCAAAAGAATTAATGACAAATTATCTGTATTTACAGCTGAAGTAGTAGCCATAATTTTAGGATTGCAATGGGTAGAAGAAGTAAGACCTCAAAGAGTTATTATCTGTTCGGACTCTGTTGCAGCTCTTAATAGTTTGAATTCAACTGAAACAATAAGAGAGGATGTATATAAAGAGATATCCATGATAATGTTAAATATAGAGAGAATTGGAATTAATCTTCAGTTTTGTTGGGTTCCAGCTCATACTGGCGTGGAGGGCAATGAGATAGCAGATTTGACTGCAAAGAATGCACTGAAATTAAAGGATGAGGAAATAATGAAGTCCCATTTGGTAAAGGTGAGGCCAAATCATTAATTAAAACAAAAGTGAGAGAATCATGGCAGAAAAAGTGGGACATAGATAACAAAGGGCGATATTATTATAATATTCAGAAATCGATTAACGTCAATGCTTTTAAAGGGAAATGCAGAAGAGAAGAAGTGATTATATCAAGATTAAGAGTGTGACATTCTGGTTTAAAATCAACCCTGTTTTTAATGGGAAAATGTGAATCAGATAATTGTGATGACTGTAATGTTCCACAAAATGTGGAGCATATCATTATGAGGTGTAAAAAATATAAAGCAGAAAGGAGGATCTTGCAAGATAAGATATACGAGTTGGAACAAGAATGAAGTTTGAAGGGGATTTTGGGGGCAGATGAGAAAATGTGGGAATGTAGCAAGGCTCTCTTTAATTTTCTTAAAGATACAGGGTTAGAGCATAGCATATAGCATATAGGAAATGGGAATTGTTTTTTATGATTATAACTATGCTAAGTACATGAAGCCCTTAAATTGCATACCCCGGTACAGTACGTGGCGGTATGCACCTGAACAAGTTGGTTGCGACCCGCCAATAAAACCAGAGAGAGAGAGAGAAGATGGCAGTAATGCAACGTTAAGGATGCAAGCTGCCGTTAAAACCCAAAGAAGATTTGAATGCAGGCGCCCCCTTGAGGACGAATCCTGTGTTTCTACATGCATTACCACTTCAATCCATCAGATGGCAGTGTAACACCGTTCATCAGGAATCACTGGTCCTATATGACCTTGCGTTAGTTTACAGCTGTTTTTGTGCCTTGTGTATGCTCGAGGAGGTTACTTGTGTTTCCAAAAGGAGGCAGATCGCATCGACACACGCAATAACCGAGCTACAAGAGGAATATTCAGTGTTTGAATCCAATCTGGTGAGTGACCAAATCGGCTACGCATAGCCACGCTCACCTTTAATGTATACGCTATGTCGTCCTTTATGTCTTCTCTGCATTTGTTCCTTTCTGTTTCATCGATGATCGGTGGGCGCAGCGCACATTATTGATTTCACACTGTTGTCCAAACTACCTCCATGAACTGTAACGTAGGCGAAGTTCTTGAATCACAAATCATGTTAAAGTGCTGCATGTCCTCCAACTAGCTCTTGTGATGGTCTCGGTTTAAGATCGATAACGTTACTGTAATGCGTTCAACTGAGTCCACTTGTTGATAAACGTATTATTCACATTTAAACATTAACGTTACGGCATTTAAGAAACAATAGGCTGCATAAGTTTACATTTGAACCTACTACGAATAATTAAATGATACAGTTAGTGATGCTTCCATGTGAAAATGTTGTCCTATGACTACGATTATTTTATTATGAACAGTTACGCAGTATCAACCAAGTAACGTTAAGAGTGATAGGCTAGTTCTAAATATTAGCATGGATATGATCTTCTCGTAACGTTAAGCACGAGGCCGCAGGTATTCACAATCATAACATCAGCACTAAGAGTGATATTGACTTCATAAAACAGTTCAATGAAGATAATACCGAGTAACTTACACTTTTAGACACAATATCGCCAGTTCCAAACAATGCCAAAGCAGGATAAATGGTTAGCGTCACTGAGAAACACACAGCAATGGCGTTTCCGTTCTTGATGAATTGGTTACTTTAACGAATCGATTGTATTAATGATTCAATGACTCGTTCATAATACATTTTTCGCCACCTACTGTCATAGCGATGTAACAAACATTCCCACCATTAAAGGGATAGTTCACCCAAAAATGAAAATTCTGTCATTAATTACTCTTGTCGTTCTAAGCCCATAAGACCTCCGTTCATCTTCAGAACACAATTTAAGATATTTTTGATGGAATCTGACAGCTCTCTGACCCTTCCATAGACAGCAAGGGTACTACCAAGATCAACGTCCAGAAACGTAGCAAGAAGATCGGTAAAATAATCCATGTGACATCAGGGGTTCAACCGTAATATTACGAAGCTACAAGAATACATTTTGTGCGCAAAAGAAAAAAATAAAACGACTTTATTCAACAATTCGTCTCCTCTGCGTCACCCTAGCGCTATTTTGGAGAATATCCACTGAGCGCAAACAGCGTATTGTTCTGTGTCAGCCGCACCACACGGATACTTTGTTTTCGTTCAAATCAAAGCACAAACAATGTAGAAAGCCATGTGGTGCGGCTGACACAGAAGCACAAAAATCCTAGGTATATGTGACTTTCTTCTTTCAGATGAATACAGTCAGAGTTACATTAAAAAATGTCCTGGCTCTTCCAAGCTTTATAATGGCAGTGAAGGGCTGTTGACATTCAATAGTTTAACAGAAGTCCAATAAAGTGCATCCATCCATTAGGGGTGTGCGATATATATCGCATAAGTTTACATTTGAACCTACTACGAATAATTAAATGATACAGTTAGTGATGCTTCCATGTGAAAATGTTGTCCTATGACTACGATTATTTTATTATGAACAGTTACGCAGTATCAACCAAGTAACGTTAAGAGTGATAGGCTAGTTCTAAATATTAGCATGGATATGATCTTCTCGTAACGTTAAGCACGAGGCCGCAGGTATTCACAATCATAACATCAGCACTAAGAGTGATATTGACTTCATAAAACAGTTCAATGAAGATAATACCGAGTAACTTACACTTTTAGACACAATATCGCCAGTTCCAAACAATGCCAAAGCAGGATAAATGGTTAGCGTCACTGAGAAACACACAGCAATGGCGTTTCCGTTCTTGATGAATTGGTTACTTTAACGAATCGATTGTATTAATGATTCAATGACTCGTTCATAATACATTTTTCGCCACCTACTGTCATAGCGATGTAACAAACATTCCCACCATTAAAGGGATAGTTCACCCAAAAATGAAAATTCTGTCATTAATTACTCTTGTCGTTCTAAGCCCATAAGACCTCCGTTCATCTTCAGAACACAATTTAAGATATTTTTGATGGAATCTGACAGCTCTCTGACCCTTCCAGCAAGGGTACTACCAAGATCAACGTCCAGAAACGTAGCAAGAAGATCGGTAAAATAATCCATGTGACATCAGGGGTTCAACCGTAATATTACGAAGCTACAAGAATACATTTTGTGCGCAAAAGAAAAAAATAAAACGACTTTATTCAACAATTCGTCTCCTCTGCGTCACCCTAGCGCTATTTTGGAGAATATCCACTGAGCGCAAACAGCGTATTGTTCTGTGTCAGCCGCACCACACGGATACTTTGTTTTCGTTCAAATCAAAGCACAAACAATGTAGAAAGCCATGTGGTGCGGCTGACACAGAAGCACAAAAATCCTAGGTATATGTGACTTTCTTCTTTCAGATGAATACAGTCAGAGTTACATTAAAAAATGTCCTGGCTCTTCCAAGCTTTATAATGGCAGTGAAGGGCTGTTGACATTCAATAGTTTAACAGAAGTCCAATAAAGTGCATCCATCCATTAGGGGTGTGCGATATATATCGTCTGTGATAATATCGTAATTGTTGTTTTAACGATGTGCGATTTGACACTATCGAGTATTTTGCAAAACCCATTCAAAACATCCCTCAAAAGCGCATGCATACATTACGTGAAGTCTAGACTAACAGAATATGAAGAATATTAAAAACATTAGGAGTCAGCTGTCTTCGGCAGTCCTTAAGGTACCAGCACAATAACACACTCAGCAAAATATCGTCTAATTATCGTTATCGATAAAATCCCATAAAATATCGCACACCCCTACCATCCATTATTATAAAAAGTACTCCACACAGCTCCTGAGGTGAATCGATGTGTTTGTGTAAGAAAAATATCCATATTTAAAACTTTATAAATGGTCATCTCTAGCTTCCGTCAACTGTTCTACACGTGTTAACAAGAGAGTAGCATTCCAGAGGATGATGTAGGATGTATTTTTGGGTGAACTATCCCTTTATAATCGCTTGTGTAGTTTTTTTTTTTTCACTAGCTAGCAGGAATGGGAGTGGAGCAAATACCTATATGTTGTGTCAGATCAGTGTTTGGTCTTCATGTTGCATGACGCAACGATTGATGTTTTTTCTTCATTTTGAACTTATTTTCATTGACCCTTTTTTTGTCCGAAACATAATTTCTGTGATAATATTTGTTTATAGGCCTACAACTTCTGTGTGTAAGCAATAGTGCACTTGCAATTGTGTTACTGTTTAAATAAATAAAACCGATTCAGATTAGAACATCTTTTGAGGGTATTTACACCTTAATGCATTTTGACTGATTGGATCGTTATCTATTTGAGTTCACACATTCCATTTACACATCCTTTGTGACAGTTAAAAGGTGTTTCCATATATAATTACAAAAGTGCGTAGTGGGAATGTAATGTGGATGTACTACATTCATCATGTTGTCATTGTCACTACACTGCCATTCACAACTCCTTTCCTGTGGCCTCATGGGATTGTAAAGCGTCCATCAGATGCACACTTCACAATCTTGCTGGAATTTGTAGGTCATCCAGGCACTTTTCGCTTACTGTTTTATGAATACTGTGAATTCTGACATACTACTCTTTCCCATACTGTTTTTCACCTACTGTATAGTTAGCCATAGTCTTTTCATGATTTTATAAAAGTGATGATACGCATGAAGTGGCAAGTATAGACAGGTACTTCATGTACTCTGAAACACAAATGTCATTATATCTTATCTTGTATGATTTCTCATGACCGCTTCAGCTGTCACTTACAATTAACAGCTTCTTTTATGGCACAGATAAGCAGGTTAACTAGGAGTCAAACTGCAGGAGATCTGATTAATCTCATGAATGAGATGAGAGACAATATCTTCATTTATTGGAGGATCTTTTTCTTACAGTGCCATGTTAACCCTTTAGTAGAGTCCTATTGATCTAACCCTTCATCTGTAATAATAGTGTTGCTGTACTTCCCCACATTCTGTTTGTGTGGATGAAGCTATTTTCGATCTGTGACTTTTAAGCATGACCTCAAACTTAATGTTGAGTGGCACTGAGGTATATTAGCACAATATTGACCTGAAAGATATGACACTCCTTTACATTCCTTCCCAAAACGTACAGTGGCACTACCATGGTGGAGTGATGGGGTCAAATTTCAGTGTTCTGTCACTTTGATATACTGAATACATGGGCCATATTCATATACCATGCTATTACCAGGCGTTCCAGTTGTGTGTAAGTATTAGAAAAGTTAAATGTAATTTCTGCGACTTTTAAATATTCTATTAATTTCCATGGCTTTTCCAGGCCTGTAAATCACAATGTTAAAAATGTCTTTATATTTGTAGTTTTCCGTGGGAACCAGAATACCTAACATGCCATTCAAAAAGTTTGGGGGGTCGGTAGGATTTTTAAATGTTTTTGAAAGAAGCGTCTTATGCTTACCAAGACTGCATTTATTTGATAAAAAAATACAGTAAAACCTATAATAACTTAAAATGTTTTGCCTTAGTAGAAATTTCACACAGCATTCATTCATTCATTCATTTGTAACATTATCAATGTTTTTACTGTCACCTTCCAATCAATTTATTGTGTCCTTGCTTAATAAAAGTGTTAATTAAAAAAAAAATCTTACTAACATCAAACGTTTATTCAACCATGGCACATTTTGTCAGAGATTTTAAATGATCTCTTTTAAGTAACATAAAGTAAGACAGTAGAAATGTATTAAAAATGTTAGAATGATTAAATCAACATTGTGTTTTTGAAGCATATCATGATCAAATGCTGACTTAGTAGCATAAAATGCGTGCCAAAAAAGTAGGTGACTGTTGCTACAGATTATTGGGAATGTACAAACCGCTAACGTTGTAATCTTGCCCAACTTCCTGAATGCCAACTCGCACAGTTAGAGACATTCGCCATTAAACGAATTACACCATATGTTATTTATCACACTTTTGCAAGAAAAATGGTGTGGTTTGTTGTGTTTTGTTAACGTCAGCATTTTGCTTTGGTACTAAATGCGTATAGTGTGAGGTGCAAAAACCACATGTGGTGACATGGTTGCTTTATGTACCCTGGGACACCCTTCTGACCTGTGTACTACTCAGCACGTGTGTGTGCGTCCATATGTTCTCCTGACGTCTCAAGTCTGTAATCTCATTCTGTCAGAAGGAGTTTAACACACGCAGCCAGTTGTGCATTTCTGCTGAGCATCGCTCACACAACCTTACAACAAACACACACACTGCTGTAATAGACTTGAAATCCAGACCTGAAATCATGGAGGTTGTTGGTAAGATTCCTATAATTCTAATGATAGATATCATTTTTATTGGTTGGTTAAATAATTTTAATGTTTAGCTTTCTATCTGTGCCACTTGGTTTTAACTCCATTTGTGTTTTGAGGACTTGAGGTGAACCCAATATAATATATAAGGTCATAAATGGACATTTTTATGTTATTTAAAACTGTGTAGCCTGTATATTTACAAAGATGTACTATGTTGATACCGTGGTGCAGTGATGGTATCAAATAGCAATACAATGGTACTTTGACATATGCACTACTGTTCAATAGCGTGGGATCAGTTAGATTTTTAATGTTTTCGTTTTTTTAAAAGAAGTGTCTTATGCTCATTAAGGCTGCATTTATTTTATGATCAAAAATGCAATAATATTGTGAAGTGTTATTATAATTTAAAATAATGTTTATACTACAGTCTTCAGTATCACATGATCTTTCAGAAATCATTCCAATATGCTGATTTATTATTAATGTTGGAAACAGTTAGCATGTTTAATGTTTTTGGAACCTTAATACTTTTCTTTCAGGATCATTTGATGAATAAAAGTTCAAAAGAACAGCATATATTCAAAATGGAAATCTTTTTTAGTGCAGTGATGGTATCAAATAGCAATACAATGGTACTTTGACATATGCACTACTGTTCAATAGCGTGGGATCAGTTAGATTTTTAATGTTTTCGTTTTTTTAAAAGAAGTGTCTTATGCTCATTAAGGCTGCATTTATTTTATGATCAAAAATGCAATAATATTGTGAAGTGTTATTATAATTTAAAATAATGTTTATACTACAGTCTTCAGTATCACATGATCTTTCAGAAATCATTCCAATATGCTGATTTATTATTAATGTTGGAAACAGTTAGCATGTTTAATGTTTTTGGAACCTTAATACTTTTCTTTCAGGATCATTTGATGAATAAAAGTTCAAAAGAACAGCATATATTCAAAATGGAAATCTTTTTTAACAACATACACATCTTTACTATCAGTCTTTACTATCACATTTTATCAATTTAGCATGTACTTCTTAAATAAAAATATAAATGTCATAGCATACTGACCCCAAACTTTTGAACAGTAGTGTATGTTGTGCAAAATAAATAACATACAACACTAGATGAACACGCCAGTGATATCAGTATCCTAATAAATGCTGTTTTATTTTATATGGAGCAGGTTGCACTATGAAGTTTGTCATGTTTACATGTAATTTCTGCAGGGGTGTTGTTAACAGTTACTACATTTGCACTGATTGGTGTCAGCACAAAATAATAACTATATAATTGAAATAATTAAAGAAATTTTATAATAAAAAAAATAGTTTTAATGAAAATATTATTTATCATTTTATAGTTACAATTATTAATTATTTTGTATTTACTTTTGTAATTATTTTATTTTATGAATTTTATTTAGTCACACAATGAGATCTATTCAAGTGCCATTAAAGATTATGATATGGTTAAATTAACTCATTTAGCAACATTGAGCAGCAAACCCCCCAGTGATCTATAGAGCTCAGAGGCAGCTGAGTTCAAAGCTAACCAGGCGTTAATCAAGGCATGTTTAGTTGTTTACGGGTCTAGATGGATTACCAGGAACCTACAGACCAACAGAAAGCTCTGGTGTAGCCAACCAGGACGTTCATTTAAAGTGAAGAAGTCTACACCTGTGAACTTGTATGTTACTGAGACCTTGAGATCAATGGAGCTATTACATGCATGAACGCCTCTCAGCTCTGAGTGTGACGTGTTTTATACAAGTCATGTCTGGCCGGTCCTACTTGCTGCTCTCAGTATAAATGAATTAACCATGTGTTTGCTTGTCCTATTTGAAAAAGATACAGGATAGAATGTTAAAGTAGAAGTGGTGGTAAAGCCTGATTTAGTTCAGCACAACTGCTAATTGTAAAGGTGTGTTCACACTGACAGCTATTTGCAGCAATGTGACAGAGAGTTTAAGAGAGTTGGTGATAGAAATCCGGGGGGGGGGGATCAAGAAAGATCCTGATGTGATTGGTTGTTTTGTTTCTTTCAGCATGTTCCATGGGCAGCAGCACTAGCAGTCTCTACAGTGCCCTGGCTAAGACCGTCAGCAGACCTGCTCTCCCTCACCCGTGTGACTCCACTTACAATCCAGGTAACGATCTGGATCTGGATCAAGACCCAGCGGACCCTTTGGAGCTGCTGCGGGAATGTAGAGAGGTTTTGAGAAACCGGCCAGCCCAGCTGCAGAGAGCTTTCGTTCAGACCGGGCATGGAGACGCCAGGCAGACGATCAGAATTATGCAGTGGAATGTACTTGCACAAGGTATAAATCTTCATAAAGAAATTACACAATGACATATGTGACCCTGGAGCACAAAACCAGTCTTAAGTCACACGGGTATATTTGTAGCAATAGCCAACAATACATTGTATGCGTCAAAATTATCAATTTTTCTTTTATGCCAAAAATTAGGTTATTAAGTAAAGATCATGTTCCATGAAGATATTTTGTAAATTTCCTACCGTAACTATATCGAAACTTAATTTTTAATTAGTAAAATGCATTGCTGAGAACTTAATTTGGACAACTTTAATGGCAATTTTCTCAATATTTTGATTTTATGCACCCTCAGATTGTATCTCAGCCAAATATTGCCCTATCCTAACAAACCATACATCAATGGAAAGCTTATTTATTCAAAACTTAATTTAAAAAAATTGACCCTTATTCCCTTCGAACTGGTTGTCTTTAAAATACAAATCTTGTGTAATCCCAGGCTATCTGTAATCAGAAGCACATTTAAAACTGGAATATAATTTCATTTCATTCACGTTTCATAAACACATAATCCTTTCTGGATTACAAGCCGCCATCAAAATGATACATTTAATTATTCTAGCTGCTGTGAGAAAAGGCTATAAACGATCCGCCACCTGCAGCATCCTCACATGCGATAGCCTAGTAGCCCAGACAACTTCTTTATGTTTACAGAAGTGACGTAATGACGCAGCGGCATGCTCAAATTTCCCACGAAAACCTACCTGTACAACTCAAATTAGAAAACATTATTATAAGCTGACCGTTGTGAATCGGGCTAAATTTAGGTGATAGTTTCGAACACTGGCTGGTTATGTACTTGCTCAAATATTGATTTCGGATCATTTTTAACCAAAAAAAGTTACGGACTGGAGCTTTAAAGTCATTTTCATTTAAACCGTTTTTTTCCAACTTCTCTCTGTCCTGTTACAGCATTAGGTGAAGGCATGGACAGTTTTGTGCAGTGCCCCATGGATGCTCTGAACTGGGCTGAAAGGAAGTATCTGATCCTGCAGGAGATCCTAACCTACAGACCTGACATCATTTGCCTACAGGAAGTTGATCACTACTTTGACATGTTTCAGCCTGTCCTGGCAAGTTTGGGCTACCAGAGCAGTTTCTGCCCCAAACCGTGGTCTCCATGTCTGGATGTGGAGAACAACAACGGCCCAGACGGCTGTGCTCTGTTCTTCAATCACAAACGCTTCCAGTCACTTAACACAACACACTTACGACTGTCCGCCATGATGTTGAAGACCAATCAGGTGGCGATCATCACCACTCTACGCTGCCGAGCAACAGAACGTGCGTTTTGTGTCGCAGTGACGCACCTGAAGGCACGGAGTGGTTGGGAGGTCCTACGCAGCGCTCAGGGCTCGGATCTGCTACGGAACCTACGAAACGTTGCACAGAGAATCGAGACCGAAGAAAAAACAGATACCGACGTACCTCTGATCGTATGTGGAGATTTTAATGCGGAGTCGTCAGAAGACGTCTATAGGAATTTCGCAACATCTAGTCTGGGATTGGACAGTGCGTATAAGCTTTGAGAATGTTGGTTTGAAAGCAAAATGTTACATTTATTTTATTCCTAATATATGACTAAAAAAAAAATCACGCTGGAAATATTTTTTGGTCTTATTGTTGGCAATGTCATGACAGTGTGCACAAATAAAACTGTTGCATTGTGGTATTTCATATTGACAAAAATAAAGTATGTTTGGGAGGGTATCAAATTCTGCTTATAGTGTAACAGTCTTTTTTCACTTCAATTATTTATTAATGAACCATTTCCCTATTTCTGTGGAGCTCACCAGTGTAAAATTGTTGTTTTTTTTTGGAAAAGAGCAGCTTGGACATTAGCTAAAATATCTCCTTTTGTGTTCCACAGAGGAAAGTAAGTCATAAAAGTTTGGAAAGACATAAGGGTGAGAAAATGATAGCACAATATTCAGTTTTGTGTGATATTATTCCTTTAACCTCTTACTATGTTCCTGACTTTGAGAATGTTGGTTTGAAAGCAAAATGTTACATTTATTTTATTCCTAATATATGACTAAAAACAAAATCACGCTGGAAATATTTTTTGGTCTTATTGTTGGCAATGTCATGACAGTGTGCACAAATAAAACTGTTGCATTGTGGTATTTCATATTGACAAAAATAAAGTATGTTTGGGAGGGTATCAAATTCTGCTTATAGTGTAACAGTCTTTTTTCATTTCAATTATTTATTAATGAACCATTTCCTTTGTGGAACATCCCCAAAATGGTCATTTCACAGCTAGTTTCACCAGAGTCTACATCATTTCAGACAGTTAAACTATTAGTACCCGTCACCTGAGCTCTTAATTTTATAGTCATGCATTATTACTTCCTGCAGGGTTAAACAATTTTATTAATTATAAATTGCCTCTCTTTTTTTTTTGTTAGCTGTAAAGGCCACTACAGAAAGAGGTTGCAACTCCATCCTTCTTGGCAACTAAAAATAAGTTTAGAAAATAATAGTATATTTTATTTTAACATTCGTTTTATTCTAAGTAATGATAATGGTTTTAATGGGTTTAGTTTTAGTTAACTATTAAAAACCAAGAGTGAAACCTGAACAGGATGTGTTGTGGAGCTTTAAGAGATTGTGGTGTAGAGTGTCTGTGTGGAAAGGTCACGTTTCTGTCCAGATCACACAACAAATGTAACCATAAACACATTTAGTAAACACACTGCCCCCTCTTGGCTGAATATATAACTGCATGAACACAGCCAACAAATACAACGTCTAGCTGCAGACTGTAGCACAATGACTTAATGACTAGATTTCCATTGAAATCTCTTTTGCGAGAATGCAAAACCAGTAAAACATGTGCTCATATTTTGTGTGGGTGTATGAACTCCGTTTCAGCCTCATTTTCAGTGCACTTGAGGCCTTACTTGCCTTCTTTTGTTGGCAAGGACTATCTGGCTTTAGGCTGTGTTCACTAGGTCTGGTTGTTTTTAGTCTGTGGTCAGATTTTCTGCCAGTTTGATTTTTGCTGTGCAGGTTTTGCTTCTGGCTTGTTTTTATCAGTTATTTGTGTTTCAGTTTGTCTCTTTGACCCAGCTTGGCATATTAAGAATTAGATTTTATTTTTATTATCAATGGGTATCAAACATAGTCCCAATTCTGTTCTGCAATTATATGGATTTTTTTTCCTAGTTTGTATTTCTTAGGATAAAAAAGTCAAGTCACCTTTATTTATATAGCGCTTTTAACAATACAGATTGTGTCAAAGCAACTGAACAGCATTAATTAGGAAAATAGTGTGTCAATAATGCAAAATGACAATAGTAAACACTCATTTTTCAGTTAAAGACAGTTCGTCATTCAATTCAGTGATGTCCTCATCCAGCTCAGTTCAGTTTAGTTTAAATAGTATCTTTGCAATCAAGTCAACGATATCGCTGCAAATGAAGTGTCCCCAACTAAGCAAGCCAGAGGCGACAGCGGTAAGGAACCAAAACTCCATCGGTGACAGAATGGAGAAAAAAACCTTGGGAGAAGCCAGGCTCAGTCGGGGGGCCAGTTCTCCTCTGACTAGACGAAACCAGCAGTTCAATTCCAGGCTGCAGCAATGTCACATTGTGCAGAGGACTCATCTGGTTCCTGTAGTCTTGTCCCGGTGGTTGTGAGACAAGGTCTTTACAGGGGATTTGTATCTGGGGCTCATCTAGTTGTTCTGGTCTCCGCTGTCTTTCAGGGCTGTGGAGGTCCTTTCTAGGTGCTGATCCACCATCTGGTCTGAATACGTACTGGATCTGATGGCTACGGTGACCTCGGAATAAGAGAGAAACGGACTAATATTAGCGTAGATGCCATTCTTTTAACAATGTAGCAAGTACATTGGGTGTTATGAGAAGTGTTCCCGGTTCTGGTTGACCTAATTAATGCAGCCTAAAAAATCCTTTAACGGATTTGTATATTAGAAGCGTATTAGTGTGCTATGTGTAAGCCAGGTTAAAGAGATGGGTCTTTAATCTAGATTTAAACTGCAAGAGTGTGTCTGCCTCCCGAACAATGTTAGGTAGGTTATTCCAGAGTTTGGGCGCTAAATGGTCGTCAAGTTTATTTGTACAGCGCTTTTTACCATACAAATCATTGCAAAGCAACTTTACAGCCAATTAAGTTTCTACAATATTTAGTGGTAGCTTATCAGTGGTGACTGTCAGTTAATGTACGGAAAAATCCATTTAAGACGTAATAAAACAGACGATGAGCACTATTAACAGCAATTATTATATGATGCAATCAAACTTCTAGCAAAATGTGGTAGTTCTGTATGTTGTTTCAGGGTTGGCATCATCGGAGGTCCTCTGAGGGCTTGCATCATCTCTTCTCAGGTGTTCTGGATCCAGACTGAAGCTTGTGTAAGTGAGCTGTAATTCACCAAAAGCCATATTTTCCTCTGACATTTGCATAGGATTGTTGCATTTTAGCACCTAGTGGCAGTTACACAGTGGCTGGTTGCATAAAATAGTCTTATAAGTCATCTAATTTTTAACACTAAAAGTCAGATTGATGAATCACTGCTAGTTGGTCAGACTAGCTCTTAAGTCTAAACAGTTTATGCAACCAGCCCCAGAACTTAAAAAATTGGTTGCGAAGTAGCCATTAAGACATATGCACATAAACATTCCAGAAACAGTTTTCAAAGAATGTTTTAGTGGAAAAATATTGGTAAATCCCACTCCGTTTTAAATCACATTTAGCCTGGCGGTTGCAAGCGGTCTAGCAGTAAATGTTCAAATATTTCAATGCATCTAAAGCTCAAATCTTTCAAAGTTGTCATTTGTTGGCGATCATAAAATAGCGACCCAAGATGCAACAAACAAAACAGCTCTGCAGCTGACACAGAGCTATCAAAAACAACACCACTCAAATTCAGGAATATTTTTTGTATTAGAGTAAAATCTACTTGAGTACACTTTGAAACAAGAGTACAACAAAATAGAATATACTTCAAATGTTGAATATACAAACTAGATTATTCTGAACACAAACATCTTGTTCTCCCTCTTTAAGGACTAATAAAATCAAAAGAAAAATGCGCAACAAATGTATCTGAAGTGAGGATGCATGCTGATGATTGACCTTTTTTTTTTTGGGGGGGGGGGAAATTGGCATCATTCCAGGATTTGGATCCAGATATACTTACACCTAATCAGTATGGTCTTTTTTATCTGGATGATTGAGATGAGAATGCAAAAATGCTTTGCAGTTTGTTTGCCAATAATACTGTGCTTGGTACAATGTGTGAGGGGAAAAAAAAAAAACATCGCACAAAGCATGAGCATAACACAAAAGCCTAATAAGCTTGATTTAAAAGAATAACGATAAAAACAAAACTTCTAAGGCTGCATTGTTTATAAATTCAGTAAACTGTATAATTCATATATACAAAGTCCATTTCTTCCCTTAGTAGAGGAGGAGGGAGAATCGACAGGTTCCTGTGAAACACGGGCAGAAGCATGCGCTCACAGTGATCGTCAAAAGAAACTGCTGGTTTTGCCTTGCAATTTAAAATGTTAAAGAAAAAAAAAAACTTTATACCAGTTATAAAAAGTTGAATTTATCCTCCCTCGAAGGTTCACATACTTGACTACTTTAACTACTCACTCCTTAGTGTTATGCTTAGCTGTTATTAGTGTCAAAGTTAGATTTAAAAAAATAAAATAAAAAAAGAGAAATGTAGTGTCCTTTACATTGGTCCCTTTAATAACTCATAATTGAAATGATGGACATCCAGATTTAATCCACATGATGTGAGAATTGTGGTCTTTGCCTGATTTTTTTTTTACATATAAAATGAAACCACAATTGAACTCCAAAACTGTACAAGTCAACAAATATCCAGTTTGTACTCCCAGAATGTGATTGAATGGTATCTGGGGAATATAAGTTCATTTATTATTGTTCATGACTGACAAAAGGCATCACTCTTCAGCTCTCTGCTTCAGTCTGTGGATTTGAACCTTCCTCTATCACCACTGCTCCTGCTTCCTGTGTGGGATTGTCCTGCTCAGGCTGTTCTGCCGAAGTGCTGTCGGGTTTCGACTCTGCGCTTATTGCTTTTGGAGAAAGCTGGCTCTGTTGAATCTGGATCTGAACTGGAACTGATGCCGGAGTAGATGCCATCTGAACGGAGATTGGGAATCGAGTTTGCGTCTGGATTGAAACGGGGACCTGCGTCTTCCCCTGAGCTGGAACTGCCAATCTGACCACCTGCGCCCCAGACATGGGCGCAAGGGCTCGGACAGCGAGGGAGGCACCCATCAGATTGATGCCCGGTTTGGCCTGTAGCTGGCACTGTGTGAGCTGGGCTGCTGGGATGGTGATGATCTTGGCGAGCTGGACCGTGATCTTGTCACCGTTCTCGGCTGTGGCGGGAACCATTGTTGGCATGGTCTGGATTAGGACTTTGGGTGCGTTTGCACCGGTTGCTGAGCCGGTGTTGGTGGGCGCTGTAGTGAAGAGTGAAGAGTTCGCTGACTGCACGGTCACAGTGGAGATCTTCTGTCCCAAGGAGTTTGTCATTACGACCGGCACTTGCATAGCAACCCGCACAGTCCTGGACACAAGATTATGTTTTAAAACATAACAGTTGAAAAATCTATTTTTTTTACACAAATTTAAGACTGGTTACCTGGGTGCATTGGGGATAATGGTGGCATGGGATGGCTGTGATGGATCAGTTGACGCAGAGACCGTTACAATGCGCTGAACAGAAGTTGCAGTGAGCGCAGCTTTAGCTTTTGGGGAACCCGGATGGACCACAGTCCTACCGCTCCCTCTCAAGATAGCAGGGGTTTTGTAGAGGTCAGTTGCCAATAGAGTGTCAGATGAGGGAGGAACGCGCTCGTAGGTCTTCTCTCCGATTACGTCATCACCAGGGTCGCACTTATCGTCATCGATGACAACAATGTCTTTAGGCATTTCCTTAAACTGGTACACCAACCTCTGACCCTCTACTTTAGCCAAGATGCCTCTCTGATAGTAATACCTGAGAGAGAAACAAAGACAAATACAACATTAGAACAGGTAGTTCTAGTTATGGATACCAATTGCAACTGGTCAATATGGCATTGCAAAACGTGTTGGAAAAAGTCATCTTATGGTGTTTGCACACACAAGCTCCTCACCTGAGAGCTCTGCCCATGGTTTCATAGTTCATGTCTGGTTTGTTCTTGTGTTTGCCCCAGAGCTTTGACACAGCTTTGGAGTCCACCAGTTTGAAGATGCCCTTCTCCCTCTGTGTCCACTTAATGTATCTGGGACAGGTGTTCTTATCCTGCAGCAGGTCCAACAGGAACTCCCACAGGTATGTACTTCCTGTAAGAAAACAGAAATAATCACAAAAGTTCAACATAAAAGTTCAACTGATTAATACTTGCAAATAAACAGCCACTGACACTCTAGCAAAACACAACAAATGTAAAAACTGAATATAATCGGTTCCATTTAAAAATAAATATTGCCATGGATGTCACAAATCCTATTAAGAACACGTCATCAAATAATATAATTAAATAATAAATATTTTAAAAATAGCAGTTAAAATTACGCACAGAAGTATTTTTAAAACAAGGGAAATCTAAAACTCTCTACAAAGTGAATTTATTGAAGTTAGTGAAAATAACTTCTGATTTTTTTACTGTCAAGAGGGATATTCTTTATAAAATATTGCTAAACATCTTTTTTTGTGACTTTCGACTGTTATCTAAAAGTATCTAAAACGCATAAATAATTGAAAAGAACTGTTCTGAAGAGAAAATAATATGTGCATTTCTCATTCTTTGCGTCTTATTTTGTATTTTATTATTAACAAGTGGTACAAATTAAAAAATTTAATATTCTTAAACATCTGGTCTTTTAAGCACTTTAAAATGTATTTATATACAATTATTCTAAATAGACACAGGCTTTCTTTTTCCTTTTTTGCGTTGTATTTTGTATTTCATTCTTATCTAGAGGGACATTCTGTAAAAGCATCTTCATATTCAACATCTTTATGTTATCCTTTATGCATTGTAACTGTGATATCAAAGAAGCTAAAATATTTCTGGACGAATAATAAGGGGGAGGGGGTATTATGATGTCACGTGACACTTGTAAGTATTAAGTATAAGTGACTTAAGTATTGGCATTTTAAGGATTATAATTATTGTTATAATACTTCCAAAAATTATTATGAGACGAATGACCATATTCTGCGCAACCCTTCAAAGCGTGGCCACAAAAGGGCAGTAGAGATTTATCACAAGACAGGACCTTGGCAAATCTACACAATTTATACGATATGCCTTCCAGTCGCTTTGTCACTGCAAATAATCAAAAGTTAAAGGGTTGACATGAGTGACAGACAATGCAAGTTGAGCACTCTAACAAGGATTCACTAAATATAACCAACACAAATGGTTATGAGAGAACATTAAATGTAAATCCCATAAGGACCTATTAATACAAATTGTGCAACCTCTGAACTATAGCCTTCTTGAGATTCTGCCTTTGCACCTAAATAGATCCAGGGGTGTCATACCTGCAATCATTCGACTCAAAGCCCAATTAATGTGCTCTCAGACAGTTTGGATAAAAGCATCTGCTAACTGACAAGTCACTTCCTTGGACGCACTTATTTAGAAACAGGTGCGGAGAGGCTGATCTCAGACAAGTAGCTCATGCATATATAGGACAGGACCTCCAGCCCTGCTCCCTTTGACGTTAACATCCAGAGCCACTAGCACCTGTGCCAGTCTATCCAAGCCGTCACTCAACTCCCATTACAACCTGAGCCTGCCCATGTTTGGCTATGCGTGTCTGTTGCTGCACACGGGGGCTATCTTTAGGCAGTCCCAGTCATAAACACATACACACAGTGTCCTCTAGAATGGGTGACCCGGCATGCATTTACTTCCTGTATTCAGACAGCTCTGCCCTTGGAGACAGGACACACATCAAAGTGTAGATATTAAAACAAAATACTTATGGTATACATGATATATGCTCTGCATATGGCCTGCTTTTAAACAATTACTATAAAACAAAAAATCCTAGTGTTATATCGTTCAGTCCTCGTAGATATACATTTAAAATGATAGTTTACACACAAAATATACTACATCATTTACTCACCCTCATGTTGTTCCATACCATAATTTTTGGAAGAACACGAGGATGATAACTGTTGACGGTTTTTATTTATGGTTTAAATATTCCTTAAAGGAGGCCAAACAACTGCTTCAGAAGTGTGTTTTTAATCCAAGAATAAACTAAAATAAAAACCTAAAAATAATATTTTAAAACTCGAAAAAAGAGTCAAAACAATACTAAAAGCTCTTTAAACAAATACATTAATTAAAATAAATTTTAAAAAAAAAACTTCTGCCGATAAGAACAAGTAATGAACATTCACATAAATATTCATAAAACACTACAACAGCTGCTAAATATCGAATCACGTCATTGTTGCTGTTCATATAATAATAATAAATACATTATTATTATCCATAATTCAGCAAATCGTAAACCACCAGTACAGGAGACTTAACATTGCGGTACTATTTTTCTGTCACTAAAATAGCGGTCCACTAGAAAGTAGTGCTGTCCCTCCTCACTTCCGTGTTTACAGTCGTCAGAGCTTTCCCTCCAGTTCTTTCTAAAGACGCTCTCCGAGCTTCCTGCCACTCAATCCCCGCCCCGAATCTGATTGGCCTCTACTCTGGTCAACGCCCCAAGAAAAAGGCAAGACGATTGGTCAGGTGTAGGATTTCGAACGCGACGCCAATACTATTGGACAACAAGCGCTGTCACTCAAAATTTAGACAGCCCAGTGGAATAACAATGCTTCCGCCATCAAATTAGCTCTAAAATCTACACATTCACAGGAAGAAAAAAAAAAGTCACTCGACACTTTCACAGCAACACATTTCAGGTCATAAAAGACAAAGTTACGTTTAAAGGAATAATTAAGCGATAAACGTTACTCATTGAGCGCAGAAATGTGCAGAAAGCAGTGCGACCACGTTTAGATAACGGGACATCTGCGACATGAAGCAAACATGGATTTTATTACTCAAACTCTATGTTTTCGACATACATTTTAACACTATTAATGAATAAAAATGCGGTTATAATGTAGTTGCTCCGCGTGTGTTTTTTTCATCCGATATGCCACATTTCCTTTGACGACGAGGCATCAAAATAAATCAATCGTTAAACGTAATGCTCTCAGGCGCTATTTTATTAAAGATACAACGCACTCAATAGATTAACTACAATTCACATTTTAGAAAGCTGTATTTCAGAGTTAAAAATAAAACTCGGTGTCCTTCCGACTCCAGACAGCGTGGCAAAGACGTAGGAAAGACAACATCTCTCCCACTTCCTGGTTTCAGAGCAGCGCACCACCTCCAGAGAAACCCGTTATTCTAACACGGTCCACATTTATAAAGCCCTCAGCGCCGTGCAAACTCAACACTGTGCACGCTGCTCACGCATAACACAACACACACGCCTTCACGCTACTTTTCAGCACTCCAAGAAAGCAGATGAGAAAATCAGGCAACGCCATGCAGGTTGCCAACCAAGGTGATCACTTCCTGAAATGCCCTCCATTACTTTACAGCACAACTTCGCGGATCTCAGCGCTGCGGCGCGAGCACCGCTCTGCTGCGCCCCAAACAAAGCCACGCTGGCGAGGATGAGCAAGCGCTGTGGTCTTTTTACCTGCTCGGATAAGCAGATCGAGCTGGTTAGCGGGTCCATCATGCAGCGACGTCGCCATGTTTCGTCCAGAGGTGCAGAATTCACATTGACTCGCATTGAAAGCGTTTAGAGACGCACGACTCGCGTATCACTCCACCTCCACAGGAAATCTCCACAAATTCAACCGCGCGCGCACAGATCCTTCCGCGCCAAACACAGGAAATCCTCCGCGCGCTCTGCGTTACGTTCGATGTACATTTACAAAAAAATATATTTTAAAAATAGCAGTTAAAATTACGCACAGAAGTATTTTTAAAACAAGGGAAATCTAAAACTCTCTACAAAGTGAATTTATTGAAGTTAGTGAAAATAACTGTTCTGATTTTTTTACTGTCAAGAGGGATATTCTTTATAAAATATTGCTAAACATCTTTTTTTGTGACTTTCGACTGTTATCTAAAAGTATCTAAAACGCATAAATAATTGAAAAGAACTGTTCTGAAGAGAAAATGATATGTGCATTTCTCATATTCTTCTTTGCGTCTTATTTTGTATTTTATTATTAACAAGTGGTACAAATTAAAAAAATTAATATTCTTAAACATCTGGTCTTTTAAGCACTTTAAAATGTATTTAAATGTATTTATATACAATTATTCTAAATAGACACAGCCTTTCTTTTTCCTTTTTTGCGTTGTATTTTGTATTTCATTCTTATCTAGAGGGGCATTCTGTAAAAGCATCTTCATATTCAACATCTTTATGTTATCCTTTATGCATTGTAACTGTGATATCAAAGAAGCTAAAATATTTCTGGACGAATAATAAGGGGGAGGGGGTATTATGATGTCACGTGACACTTGTAAGTATTAAGTATAAGTGACTTAAGTATTGGCATTTTAAGGATTATAATTATTGTTATAATACTTCCAAAAATTATTATGAGACGAATGACCATATTCTGCGCAACCCTTCAAAGCGTGGCCACAAAAGGGCAGTAGAGATTTATCACAAGACAGGACCTTGGCAAATCTACACAATTTATACGCCCTCATCCTCATGTTGCTTCTAACCATTACTTGCTTTCTTTAGTGGAACACAGGAGGAGATCATAAAAATAAAAAAAAAATAAAATAAATTTTTTTTAAACCGGTCACCGTTTACTTTCATTGTTTGTTTGTTTTTTTTCCATACAATGAAGGGGGTGAACTTTTTTTTTTTTTCTATAACTGCAATTTTGATCAGAAATTGGTTGTAAAAATAGAAGTGTAGCCCTGTGTTTGGCTGATAGTAACTGTAACCAAAACAAGAAAGCTATCTTTGGGCGACATGGTTGATTTTCTAGCAGAATCATGCTTATGTGGTTACCCTCTGAAATGATGCATCACTAAATAGTCCATAAATCCTAGCCCACAGGGATGGCGTTCTATATACAATGTATAATAACAAATACTAGGCAAGCACCAAACTAACTATTAACTATTAACATAACTGAGACATAAGAAAGCAATGTGCAACTATTATAGTCTACTCTCCCTGTAGCATTTAATGTCCATCAACATCCACCCATTAAGTATTTTCATTGGGCGATTCAGGTTTACGAATGCATAATGCTGGTTATGTTCACAAACAGTGGCTTCATAAAGTCTCTCTGCCAACAGCAACTACTGGAAATCACAGGATTCAAAATATTTGATCATGCAATCATGAATAGAAAGCACTTTGTTCAAGTGAACAAAATCACATTAAAGGTGCCTGCATAAACATTTCATTACACCAAATACACAAAATAATGTTCTTTTTAGCAACATCATATGACCCCTTTAAGTAAGACTGGTAGTTGTGGTAAAGTGTGTGCAAAGGGTTTTTCTGCCACTTTACTGGGAAATTTATTACAGATGTGTTTTGAATAGCTAGAAGTTGATGTATATCGAATTATGCAGACAACAACAACTTTTTTTTATGAAATGTGTCAATAATTGGAATGCATCTAAAAAACAGGTCCTTTATAAAGGCATGTGATCAGGCAAGGACATAAAAAGAACCCTCCCAATTAATATGAGTATTCAATACTACTACTACTACTAATAATAATAAATAATAATACATTATTATTAAAATATTTTATTCTAGCATGATCCAAATGATAAATCAATAGACATTAATATTGCAAAATAAAAAAACATTTAATTTAATAATAATAATAATTTTATTTTACAACAGAACAACACTATTTGTTCTAGTTCTAACACAACTACTAGTATTTATGTCTGTTGTAATTCCTTTCCAACATTACGCCACAGAGCTTTTATTTTTGGTGGAAAACTGCAGGGTGTCTATAAGTAGCCCAAACTCACAGCACATGCAGAGATGAGTTTGTATGGAACACCGAAAACAACGATTAATGAGCTGCTTGCATGTAAATGAACAAAGTGCAGCGATTTGCTCTAAAACATGCAGTGCATACATTTAATTAAATCGCAGTGTTTCAGATTTTCCGACTAAGCCTATGAGGTAATGTAACAGAGCATTTATGTTTAGTGTGCTTACATTAAATACTGTGTATATGTCTCCATGCAGTGATGCTGAAGCACAAAAGGGTTTTCATCTTCAAATTTCCTAGCCAAGTGTTTGTATAAGTTGAGTGAAAATCAGCTGAGAAAGACAGAATAGTAGTTATGTGGTAACAGTGTTCTCACCTGTCTCCAGCACTTCAGTCTCCACCTCCTGCTCCTCAGCAACTCCCTGCATCAGGTAGGTCTCATCATCGTACACCAGCACCTGAGCAGCGAAGCCCTGCTCCAACCGCGCACTGGGCACCGGCTCCACGATCACCGCAGGGTACTCCACCTCTCCCTCTATCTCGCCCTCAACCTCATACACACCCTCCTCCTAGACAGAGAACAGAGGTTTCATGAACAAGAAGAAACCTGAAATCTAAAAATACTTTCTGAACATTAATTAAAAAATTAAAAAATAAATAAGATGTCAAGAGTGGCTGTTAATTTTTACTACACTAAAATGAAAAAAAAAACTAAATGGACTTTCACAGACTTTTGCTACAAACATAACTATAATGCTAACTATATTAGCATCCACACCAGTGGACTATAACATTCTGTTTATTATAAGCACATGCTGCAGATTGGCTTTCAGTGTTTTAATTGTTCACCAGCTGGAAAGAAAAAAAAATACCTTTCTGAAAGTGATTCCAACGATATCGTTCCTGCGTCATTGTCTTTATAACTGCAGTGTTTTAAATTTCCCTGGTTAGGAAGATTACTGAAACCTTATAGTTATTAGTAATTTACTAATTAATAGTAATTAGTTATTTTTACTATTGGCATCACATGATTCACTTTGCAGCTTATTCTGACCAAAACTGCCTACTTTTACAGGAAAAGATGTTCTGACCAACATGTAAAATGACCACAATACAAATAACAATTTTCTTTTTTAAGAGACACATGCTATCAGAATTAATTTACTCTGTTAGCACACAGTGTTGTTATTCTTAACTAAAATACATTTTCAGTAACTGAAATAAAGGGGAAATAATATGAAATATAAATATTACATGAAAAACTTAAACTACTTGGCAACTAACTGAAATAAATAAGTTGAAATACTAAAATTACTAAAACTGACAAATGAATTAATAATTAATTGAATAAATAAATGAATTAATAAAAAAGACAAGATGACTAAAACTTAAACTAAAATTAAAACAGTAAATATACAAATAGTCTAGTGGAGAACAATTCATCCATGCAATTTACAGAAAAAAAGTTTCTCTTCATAACCTTTAATCAAAATCTGGAAATTTGCTTCCACATTACAATGGCGTTCCTTCTCTGATAATGAGATGCCAAGGAAGTGCGCTAAAATCAAAAACATCGGTTTTCTCATTCAATATTCTGTTTAAAATGCATCACAACACTGAATTAAAATTGGTAACAACTTCGGGTTCACCCAGATTTAAAAAACAAAATCGGATGTAACTCGGTACACTGGTGAACATTTCAACAATTTGTCTGTGATTCAAAAAAGGAGCACTCTAACACTTAGCATCAGACTTTACTGTTCAGTCTCATTGACCATCTGATGTAAACTGCACAAAAAAAATGCTAAACACTTTCTGAATCTGGCAAGCTCTAATCTGATTGGCTGATCTTCAGTAAATTCCTGCCAGAATAAACTACAAAGTCAACAAACATCAGGCCAGTAGTTAAAAGTATGACTCCTGCAAATTGTTTCATGTCAGCCAATCACATTGGAGCTCGCCATATTTGAGAACATTAGACAGTCAGGAAAAGAACTCCGTGGATGTGCCATTTTAATGCGAGACCAGCAGCAAAATAATATAAAGAATAAAAAATTATTTTGTAGTGGTAAAAATCTTACCATTAAATGGTCGTCCACTGCTGTGACATACTCCACCACCGCTCCTCCACTGTCTACAAGCACCACAGACGTCATGACTCATACCCCACACTCTGCTGACCCCCTGTGGCAAACTCCAGGACTGCAGTCAGATAGCAGGATAAGAGAAAAGACAAAAGTGAAAAAAAAGATCAATAGCACTGCAAAAACAACATGAACTTCATGTGCAGAGCCAAAGCGACCTGCTCTCCTGTTCTCTCAGTCTGGTTCAACAGGAAACTCACTCTTGCTAAGGAACAGAACACCAAAACAGGAAGCCTGCCTGTGAAACACTAAGGCCATGGCAACATCCAACATACTTTGGTTTATGGAGCTGAAATGACAACTACTGCAGCTGCAAAAAAAAAAAAAAAAAAAATAGCAGATTAAAAGGCTTTCTCAATTCATCTTCTTACAAAGAAAGAATGGGAGGGAAACAAGAAGCGTCAGTGGGACAGTCTAGCAGCTAAATTATTGAGTGACTGCAACCACGCTCCAGACAGCTAAAGTGACACAGCGACGCAACAGTGGTAACATGCACATGCTCAAACCACTGAAAACGAAATAAATGGTTCAACTAAAAATGAAGGCTCTCTCATTATTAGGGTTGGGTATCGTTAGAAATTTTCCTGGTTCCGATTCCGGTTCTGATTCCATTTAAATGAACTATTATTATAATTTTTTTTACTATTTTACCTTCATTGAATGTAATGTTGCTGGAAGGTAGTAAGTAATGTTGAGTAATGCTAGTCCATCAATCACGTGTGCTTCAAAGTTGATGTTTTTTACACTATCAATAACATTTTAAGCAGGAATAAGCTGGTTGGCCAAATAGTCCCTTGAGGGCTAAGACACTTGTTCATTTCCCTAAATTAATGAAATATTAACTGTTATACTTATAACGATGAATACACACACTCCATAAAACCCCTATTTTACAAATAATAATGCAATCAGGAGATGGTGTGATGCAATGAGTGGTTTCCACATTTTTAAACATTTAAAATGAATGAAAACAACGTGCACAGTTATCAAAGACACGAGTGCACATACAGTCGTGGAAAACTATGTGTTCGGCAGTTAAAGACGCGGCGCGTCTGTGGAGTGCGCGTCATGGGAAACAATGTGCTCAGTAATTAAAGAGGCAGGGGGGCGTTTCTGTTATTTGGTTTGTGACATCCTTACGGGAAACGCCGGCACAAGGCTGCTCACAGCGCTTGGTCACGTGTCGCACCAGAACCGTTCTGGGTTCCCAACCCTACTCATTATCTATAAACTCTCATGTTCCAAATCTGTATAACATTCTTTTATCAATGAAAAGATTAGGTTTAGCAGAATGTTCCTACCATTCTACAAAACAGCACCATAAAATAATGCCAAATGACTAAGGATGAATTACAATTCCAGTCACTGAGAATTATCAGCCTAAAGTGCCATTTCAGGTTTCCAGAAAGAGTAAATGTGAATGGAAATCATTACTTTGGTTAGATATGTTTTTTTTTTTAAACATGCAATTATGCATAAACTATTCAAGGTATACTGAATACTAACAGTAATAATGATTTTTTTCTTCTTCTTTTGTATTACAAAGAGATTTCACATGCATTTTGCTATTTCTCGTTTAAGATTTTAAAAAATGTTAAGAGCTTAAATGTTAGTGAAATAATGCCAACTGAGGAAAAACCAACTGTCAGAGAATAATTTTAAAATTAAATTATCCAAAATATCAGTTTTTGGCCAAGATATTTAAATTCATCACCATATACAACTTGTGTGCTATATATAAGTGCCCTAAATGACAGTAGATAATATGCACTTAAACTGTACTATGTACTGTACACAGTTTGTGTCAGAATCTGATAGCGTGTTCCTTTCCTCTACGTAATTAAATCTGTAACAATTAATTGCCTGAAGTGTCTAACATTCAACACTTACATTTTTTTTTTAAAGGGGTGGTTGATTGTGATTTCACTTTTTTAACGTTAGTTAGTGTGTAATGTAGCTGTTTGAGCATAAACAATATCTGCAAAGTTACAATGCTGAAAGTACAATGCAAACGGAGATATCTTTTAAATGTTATGGCAGTTTAATGTCTACAAAAACGGCTGGTAGGGACTACGAGTTACTTCTTGGGTTTGTGACATCAGATAAACCCCGCCCCCAGGAACATGCAACAAAGGGGGCGAGGCCATGTTGCGCTGCTTTAGAGAAGAGGAAGAGTTGTTGCCATGCCGTCAAAACTAGGGGTGCACAAAAAAAATCTATTCATATATGAATCGTGATTCTGTCTTCAAACGATTCTAATGGATTCACAAGTTTCAAAATCAATGTTCTAAAGCAGCAGTTCTTAAACCTGTTCCTCACGTTCCCCTGCTCTGCACACGCTCTGCATCTCTTTCTCTATCTATCTATCTCTCTCATTCAGATCTTCAGCTTATCAGCTCAGCTCCAACAATGAACTGTTCCAATTATACACTTTGTGTATACAGACAAATATTTTTCACAAAGCTGAGAAGCGTTAAACATGGATGCGCACGCGGTTGTCGTGCTGTATTAAAGCTTTAATCAGGATAAAACCGTATATTAAAAGCTAACATAAGCAGTAGCATTTACAAATAACAGCGCATCTAAAAGTATGAGACAACAACAAACTAAAAACATACCATTAAAGGGGTCATTTGATGCGATTTCAATTTTTCCTTTCTCTTTGAAGTGTTACAAGCTCTTGGTGCATAAAGAAGATCTGTAAAGTTGCAAAGACTAAAGTCTCAAATCCAAAGAGATATTCTTTATAAAAGTTAAGAGTCAACCACGCCTACCTAAAACGGAATGTTCTAACACGCCCCCACATCTACATAAATAAAAAATGAATCGAAATGGAATCGAAATTGCGATTCGACAGAAACTAACAAATAACTTACATAAAGTTTAAAAGGTATACAAAACTGGAAATAAGTAAACATGTATAATATATAACCAAATAAATAAGAAACGTAGAACGTTTATTAGCAAAACGAATGTCAAATAAGATAAATAATAATAATAATAATTTGTTGCATTTATATAGCGCTTTTCTAGGCACTCAAAACGCTTTACATTGTCAGGGGGTATCTCCTCATCCACCACCAGTGGATACATAAATAAATGACACCGTTTAAATAAAGTAAAAATCAGCAAACAATGTGGAAGCAATTAAATAAGTTTTAAAAAACTTCCAAAATCACCTTAGATAAACGGCAAAAGTCAACAGGCTTTTCAAAATCCAAAATATTGCCAAACAGGCACTTTTGCATCTCGTTTAGAAACTAAATCATCCGCGATCGTCTTGTCTGTCTCACCCCATTCTTCTTGTCAGTCAGCTCGACTCACTCTCCTCACTGGATAAATGAAATCTGATCTGTGATGCGACTGTCATTCGGCACGCTTCATTGAGCAGCCGCGTTCAGTTTTTAATTGTAGTCTCTGTTCTTTTACTGAACTAAATGATTTTTATTACTACAAAAAATCAAAACGACGGTGGCGGTCGGTGACGCGGTGGGCAAGTGACGTAACCGGTGTTGCGGCTTAACACTGGTATCACCGTCAACACCGTCTATCGCGGCAAGCCTAGTGGCTAGTTATAATGTCCCTACGTTAGCTATGTTTTGTGAAAGACTAAACACCATTGTGCATAAAAACACCACAGAAAGAAAGTTAGTCAATATCACACGAAGAGTGCCAGTTTTCACCTCTAAAATCAGCATGATTACAAATGTGATTTTATTCAACAGTTCAATAAACAAGAAGGTAATATTATGAGACTTACGTTTTAGACACTACATTGCCTGTTTTTGCCAACAAAAAAAATTCCAAACAGCCACAGCACTGTTTTGCGCCTCTGTGCAACATGAAGGAGAATATGAAGAATATGAAGGATAGCAAAAACAAGTTTTACACACACACACACACACACCAGAACGTAAAGGGACATTTAAGAGGGTTTATTCTCCAAATAACTCTAATTTCATGTTGCAGAAAAATGTGTTTAAAAATTGTGTATGGTCTCTTGTTCTTGTTCCAAGTTACCTTCCTGTCCACTGATTTTTGCCTCTCACAAAAGCCACAAAGCCTTCCAAGAAGACGGTAAAGGCTTATGTCATGCTTCAGCTTTAGTTAGACTGAAACTTGAAAGTTAATTTACACGACATAAATGCAATGTTTAGATATTATTATTTTTATTACTATTATTTTGATTTATGCCTTAGTTTTAGTTTGTACGGTTAACCTTTTTTAAAGTAATGTGAAATAGATTTTTGTATTTTTATTAAATTTTTTTATTGATATATTTGTATTTGCATTTTGAATGCAATTTGGCAATTAAATACATTAAATGGGTTTAGTTTTCACGGTTATTAATGTATGCAATTTCAGCAATAAAAATTTAAATTTTTCTAAAAAGAAAACAAATTAGTTGTTTATTTTAAGAGACCTATCTTATTATCTCTTGTATATTTAGTATTGCTCTTTAATAAAGAAAAATGACTTCTTATCCGATTACTCAATTAATCGATGGAATAATCTGTAGAATACTCGAATACTAAAATAATCGATAGCAACAGCCCTACCGTGGACGAAGTGGAGTCCAGCCCGGGGTCATCACATGTAATTGCCGCAAGCCAGCGCCTCTCTCAAGCCCCCGGCCGTTCCTCACTCTAGCCTGCCAACCAAATACACAAAATAATGTTCTTTTTAGCAACATAATATGACCCCTTTAAGAGCCGTGTGCTTGCACGTTCTGCGCGATCCTCTTCACTAATAACCTCTGCGTCTCAATCAGGCTCAAATTGATAAGCAATATTGACAACGTCATTGTTTACAAAACAAGCGGAGCACATGCCGCTGAGCTGAGTTGCGTGCCGTTTAGATGCGCACGGTTTAGCGAATCACAACACACTGGGCCAGTGAACCAATCTGAGCCCATCGCATATTTCTGAGGGAGGGGCTTCATAAAACCAGGAAATCATCAGCGCGTTTATAAGAGAAGGGACAGAGTGGTGTAGAATAAAGGTAAATTATGTGAAAAATAGGGCTGCACGATTAATCGAAATCGGCATAAAATCGCGA